CCTCGGCCTCCCAAAGTGCTGGGATTACAGGTGTGAGCCACCGCGCCCGGCCTAAAAATTCATTTTTATTATTATTAGAGCAAAACTCACGGTGTGTTGCCCAGGCTGGAGTGCAGTGGCATGATCTTGGCTCACTGTAACCTCTGCCTCCTGCATTCAAGCGATTCTCCTGCTTCAGCCTCCTGAGTAGCTGCGATTACAGGTGCATGCCACCATGCCTGGCTAATTTTTGTATTTTATTTTATTTTTTTATTTTTATTTTTATTTATTTATTTTTTTTGAGACGGAGATTCACTCTGGTTACCCAGGCTGGAGTGCAATGGTGCGATCTCGGCTCACCGCAACCTCCGCCTCCTGGGTTCAAGCAATTCTCCTGCCTCAGCCTCCCGAGTAACTGGGACTACAGGCACGCACCACCATGCCCAGCTGATTTTTTGTATTTTTAGTAGAGACGGGGTTTCACCTTGTTGACCAGGATGGTCTCGATCTCTTGACCTCGTGATCCACCCGCCTCGGCCTCCCAAAGTGCTGGGATTACAGGCGTGAGCCACCACGCCCGGCCTAATTTTTGTATTTTAAGTAGAGATGGGGTTTCACTATGTTGGCCAGGCTGGTCTCGAACTCCTGACCTCAGGTGATCCGCCCACCTCAGCCTCCAAAGTGCTGGGATTACAGGCGTGAGCCACCGCAACCGGCTGCCTGGGCAATTTTAAAAAATATAATAGAGACGAGGCGGGAGACGGGGGTCTTGCTATGTTCCCCAGGCTGGTGTCCAACTCCTGGCCTCCAGGGATCCTCCCACTTCAGCCTCTCAAAGTTCTGGGCTTACACGTATGAGCCACCGCGCCCGGCCAATAACCATTTTTGCTAACAGATTTAAACTATCCTCTCCCGTACCCTTTTTCTAAACACCTGGACCCCGGGGCTGCAGCTCTGCCAGCCTAAGGTGGGACCCGGTCGGCAGCAGGGCCCAGCTCTGGGATGAAGTGCAGCGATTCCCGCCGCCGGGAGGGGGCGCTCTGCGGGCCTCCGTCTTGGCTTTCCGGACGCCGGCGCAGGTCGTCGGACCCACAGAGTCGGCCCTTAATAGCCCCCTCCTGGAAGCGCTAGGTCCCGAAGCTGGACTTCCCCCGGGGCCCATCTGCCGACTAATGTTTAACCCGGCCACACTCCACATTATCCACACTCGGGAGACCGCGGTGGCGTGGGGGTGGGGGCTGGGGGAGGTCACCTGCAAATCGCCGACTTCCGAGAGCCTTTGCTCCAGGCAAACCGCCTTCCTACATCCCTTCCAGGTATCAACCTACAGCTTCTGCGCACCTACTATGTGCCCATTCTCACAAAAGGTCATAGGCACCTAATCTGTGTCCGTTAGACCAAAACATGAGCATCTATTGTTAAGTCCACACCTACTATGTATGCATTCACTCACAACGTCCTGAACACCTACTATGTGTACATTCTCTTAAAATACAATGAGCATCGATTGTGTGTCCACATAACCTACGAGCACATACTATGTGTCCATCTGGGCACTAGGCCATGAGCACCTACTATGTGTCAAGTCCTGTGCCAGGCATGGATGCCTTGTGATCAAGAGCCACATGCTTCGGGCTCTGGCCGGGACCTCGGCATCAAACGCACCAATGGAGACGGAATTAAAACCAGGGTCAGATGCCTCACCTCTAGGGGATGGCGATTCTGAGATGCCTTTTTCGTCTCCTAAGCTCCTCAAGGCCAGCTGCGCGGAGAAGGGGGGGTGTCCAACAGCAGGACAGCTGTTTTTTTGAACTACAATCGGTCAGCATACAGCAGAGCAGCAAGAATATAACAGGGTGGGGGGCGCAGGATTAGCCCAAACAAAACACACTCAAGAACGCGACTCTGTGCTTCAACATGAGGAGGCAGAAAACAGCTGAGCCGGGTGCGGGGCTTCTCCCTTGCGTGTAACCGCTCACTGCACTCGCTGCCCTGGCCGCGGGCGCCGCGCAGGGTGCTGAGATCCAGAAGGGATCTAGTCCCCCACTCGGCGCCCGGGCTCGGGGACGCAGGTGGTACCAAATGCTGGGACCAAGCTTGGAACCAAGCGGAAGCCGGATTGCTGGGCATGCACCGGACCTCATCCTTATTCCACCGTGAGGGAAACTGAGGCCGAGGGCAAGACAGGGACCCGCCCGCCGACGGCCCAGCGTGAGGGGCTGCGCCGGGCCCCGAACCCTGGTTTGCGCCGCCCCGCCGGCATCAGGAGCCGGGGCCTCTGCCCGCCGGGTGCTGCCTGCGCGTTCCTGGAACTGGGCTGGGCGGAGAAATCAGGGCCCGCGGAGAGGCATTCCAGTCGCCTTCCCCGCCGCCTGGGGCCGCGGGGGGCCTGGCCAAGGTGACCCCGGGGGAGGAGGCGAAGGGTCCCCGCCCGCGCGGCGGCGGCGACCTCCTCCATCTTCTCTGTCTTCGGGGCTTTTTCTCTGCTCCCGTGCGCCCGGCCCCCTCCCCGGGCTTCCCCGAGGGCGGGACATCCCGGGCTCCCCCGCCCCCCTAAGCCACCTCCCGGCCGAGTCCTAGCGCTGCCCTCGGGCCGGGGGCGGGGCTGCGTGGGGGGTGGGGGGCGTGAGGATGGGGCCAAGGAGGACGCGCGCGGCTCGGCGCCCGCTTTCCCTCCCGCCTCTCCCTCCCGGTGCCCGCTCCCCGCGGACGCGCCGCCCTCCCCTCCCCCTCCTTCGGCCCAGCCGCCGGGTCCCGCCGCCCCCTCCCCCGACGCGCACGCCCCGCCTGGCAGCTGGCGCCCCGGGCCTGGGGCCGCGGCGGCGAGAGGGGTTTGCTGGGAGGGCGGGAGCGAGCGAGCGAGGGGAGGGGTGGAGGCCGCCCCCCGCTCCCCTCCTCCTCGCCCTCCTCCGCGGCCGCCGGGCCCTCCTCCCGCCGCCTCCCTCCTCCCGCCCGCCCTCCCTCCCTCTAAGACATCCCCGCACAGCCCGGCCGCCGCGGCCACCTTCCCTACCCAAGCTGCAGATGTGGCGGAGCGGCCGGGCGCCGGGCGGCCGTGCCAGGGGAGCCTGCGCCCTGTGAGCCTCGCGCCCCGGCCCCCGCCCGCCCCGGCCCCTCCCCCGCTCGGCCCCCCACGCCCCCCGACCGCCGGAGCCCGCAGCCCGGAGCCCGACCGCCCCCGCTGCCGAGGTAGGAAGCCCCCCGGGCGTCGCGCCGTGGGGACCGGGCCGGGGCGGGGGGAGCGCGCCTGTCGCGCGGGGGCTGTGGGGCCCGAGGGTCACCTCCCCTGTCTGCATCCGCGCCCCGGGCCATTGTGAGTCCTAGCCTAGGCCCCCGCGTTCGCTCGCTCGCTGGCTCGCGCGCTCCCTCCCTCGCCGGCTCCCCGGCCGGGTCCCTTGAGCTCTCGGTCTTTCTTCTCTCTCCTTCCCTCCCTCCGTCCGGAGACCCGGCCGAGCCGCCGCCGGGCCGGGGGCGGGCGCAAACTTCAGCTGGGAAGTTGGGCGGCCGCCGTGGGGGTGTGCGGCGAGGTGAGAGGGGGGCACCCGGAGCCTGGGCACGAAGTTGTCCGGGGCAGCCGCCCCTCCTCTCGGCCGCGCCTGGGCTGCTTCTAGGAAGGGCTTTGGAAGGTGCCTCCTTCCTTGGCCAGGAAAGTCTCCCTGCTGCTGCCCCTCGCAAGCCTGGGTCCTCCCTTGGACCACGGGAAGGGGCGTCCCTGGGGGGCAGGACTGGGAGCCCGGGACAAGTCCGGCACTTGTTTCTCCCCTGCCGTCTCGGTGGACGCAGGCGACCGGCCTGGCAGGGAGGAGATGGCAGGGGGCTCCACACTCGCCAGAGGGCGGGTCTGGAGCGGGTGGAGGAAGGGGCGAGGCAGGTGCATCCCGAGGGAGGAGAAGCCCGCCCAACTTCCCTGCTGGCCCCCTGGGATGGGGCTGGAATCCAGGCTGGCACCTGGAGGCCTTGGCATGCTGCCCTGCTCAGCAGGGTACTCGGGCCACAGCAGGGCAGCATGCTGCCTGTCTGCCTGTCCAGGAGGGCCCGCCCAGCCTAGCCAGAGGGTGGCCGGGAAGCAATGGTTTCAAGGAGCTGCCCAGCCCTGCCCTGGGGCCTGGGAAGCTGGAAGGGATGCTGGGAGGAGCCCTGGGCCCCCAGCCATCACAGCCCAGGATCTTGGCTCTGGAGGGAACCGCTTGACACTCAGGGGGCAGCCAGGCTGGCTGGGGACCTGGCCAAGGCCTGGGCTTGGTCTGGGCCATGGAAAGGGCCTGGGCCATGGTTCTGGGAGGCTGGCACCCGGGGTAGTAGGCCGCCATCCTGCCTGTCCTGGCATCCTGGAGGGAAAGGTGGGGCCCGCCTTCGGCTGGGGAGGAAGCCCAGAGACACTGTGCTTCCGAGGGCCTTCCAGCCCCCAGGCTCAACGGAGGGGAAACTGGCCCCTTGGGTCACCCCTCCCCAAGCCCCATTCTGGTGCCACAGTGCTACAGCTGTCCAGGCCCAGCCCACACACCCCCCCCCGGGTGACCTCGGACCTCCCCCTCTGCTTTTCCTTCTCCCTGGAGCCCAGGGTGGGCCTCCTAGCTGGCCTGGCCCGCACTGGGGGAGGGGCTGCACCTGGGAGGCCCCTCCTGGGACACCCCTTGCCAAGCTCCAGCCTGGCCCATTTTCCCTGCCCACCTCCAGCTCAGCTTGGCCCTGTCTGCAGCCAGACAGGCAGGAGACAGTGCCAGGGTATTGGGATGGCATTTTGGGGAGTGTGAGGACCCTTTGGAAGCAACCCTGTTTGTCTCAGCCTTTTCTCCTCCCCCTCCTTTCCGGAGCTGCCATTAGCGCTGACCCCCGACTCCCTGTGCCTGCCCGCCCTTCCCTGTCTGTGACCTTTGACCTTTGGTGTTAAATCTCTCCAGCTGGGGCTTTTCGGCCCCTGAGTGACCCTGGCCCAGGCCCCCTGGGGAGTTCTCTGCTTGCTCCTGGCTCTCTATACAGGGACACCTGCCAGTCCCTCCCTCACGAATGGGGAGGAGGTGACTTGGGAAGCCAGACAGTGAGTCACCCCACTTCCAGGCACTGCTGCTTTTGGGGTCAGTGGCTTCTGGGGATTGGCTGGAGCCCGGTCACAGCCTTGAGGGTGACCTGGGGGAAGCCCCTGGCCTGGGAGTCTCCTGTCCTGGCTTCAAGTCTTGGCTTGACCACCAACTTCCAGGGGTCCTAGGGTTAGGCTCCTCCTCCCTTCTCCTGGCCTCATCTATGAAACTAATGGGTCAGACCAGGTGAGCTTCCAGAGTCCATGAGAAGCCTGGGTGGAGGGGGGGTGGAGGAAGGAGAGAGGGTGTAAGGCCAACAAAAGCTAACTCTCAATTATCCGTGGGTGGAGCCAGGATGAATAACTGGATGCCACAGACATCCCAAAACCTCATTGCAAACAATCGTGTGAACCTCATCCCCCCAAAGCTTTTGTTTCTGAGAAACCCAGCTGTGACTGGGTAGCCACAGTGATTTCTTTCCCTGCCTGGGTTCCCCCCTTGGGGAGGACAAGTGGGGGGCTGAGGGTGAATAGGTGGGTGGGGGTAAGACAAAGGTCTCCTAGGGCCCCTCCTCGGGGCCTGGACCCCATTTCCAAGGCCCTCACCCTCCCCTCCACCCTCCTTCCTGGCTTGGCCTTGGCCCCAGGCGGTGGGAGTGTATTCTCACCACCTAATCCTCACGGGGTCTGGGCTGCAGTATGGGAGGAAGATTGTGTTTTCCCAACTACAGTTTCCCGTGTGTATTTCTACCTACCGCTTGCTCCAGTCACCTGGAATCTGAATTCCCCAGTTGGACCAGGAGACAGGGGCCAGTGCCAGCCAGGGTTTGGGGCAATCCCTGGATGAGGGAGGGTGTCAACAGCTGTGACTGGGGGACCAGATGTGGAGCTCTTGGAGGGGGCATCTGGGGTGGGGCTCCTGGGGAGGCGTGCAGGGGCCTCCGCAGTTTCCTGCCTCTCAGGGGAGGCCCAGGAGGCTCTGGCACCCAAGGAGGAAATTGATTCCATGGCAGAGGCCCTGCACTGGGTGGGATTGGGGTAGGGGTGGCTGCAGAGAAGTGTCCCCTGAATCCCCTCCTCTCTTCAGGGCTGTAATTGTTACTTTCACAGCAGGTAACTGTGGCCAGAGGAGAACCCCAGAAAGGTCCTGGGTGGTTTTTCCTTCACCCAAATAAATGCCCTTCTCAGGGGCAGGGGCGTCCCTGGCTTGGTGGGAGTATGTATTAAGCAGTAAGAGCCCTCTTCCTGCTGGCTAGGGAGTCTCTGGGACCAGCCAGGAAGATGGGGCTCTCCACCCTCTGCCTAAGTTGCCTCCCCTCCCAGGGGCGGTGAAACAGTCCACAGAGATGGGTTGAGGGCTCCATGTGTGTCTGGGGGTTCACGTGCCCGGGAACACGCACCCTACCTCAGCCTGCTGCCAGCCCTGGGTGTGGGGACCACAGCCCTAGCCAGTCTCCCAGGACACATCTGTTGCCCAGTGGTTTCTGAGGTGGCCACCTCTGCCCCATCCTGGTGAATTCTAAGTCAGGCGTGGCTGGGGGCGGGGGCACCTCTAGTGCTCTGCTGGGTGCCAGGGTAGGAGGCACTGCTTTACTCCCTGGGACTGGAGAGGCATCGTGGTGGTGATGGTGGTGGGTCTGCAGGGCACTGCCTGGAGGAGACCCAGGTTTCTCTCCTGGCTCTGGCTTAGCGCTGGGTGAGGCTGGGCAGGCACAGAAGCCGGGCACCCACCTTCCACTCCCTCCCTCCCCCAGATGGGCTGGAGGGTTCTGGTTAACTGGTGGCTGGGCTGAGCAGGCTTGGGGGGCATGGAGATGGGAAGTGATTCCAGTTGAGGGGTGGGGGCTTCCCATCTGCTCCAGCAGCCCCTGGTGGGGGGATGGGCGGGGCCGAGGCTCTTACAGCAGCGGTGCGGTGGCTGGTGCGTGGGCGACTTGGGCTCCTCTCGCCCTTTGTCTTCGATGTCCGAGAGGCCAGGTCGTGCCCACCACAGGGAGGGGCCAGCCTGTGAGTGTCACATGTTGTGTGCACACAGACTCCAGCCTTGGCAGATGGCTGTCCGGGAAGGGATGCACACCCAGCCCTGGCCCCTTCCTCCAGTCATGGCCAAGGGTGGGTGGGAAGCCGGCAGAGGCCCCAGGAGACGGCTGGCCGAGTGGCCTGAGTCAGCCTGTGGCTGGGAGCCTCAGGAAAACAGTCCTGCCTGTCACACGGAGGGTCCCCACCATTGGCGCAGCACTTTCCCAGGCCAGCCTCAATGGGACCTGGGAGTCAAGAGTCCTTTGGAGGCTGGTGGGGGGAAACTGAGGCTCTGAGACATTCGAGGGTTTGGCCCGAGGTCACTCAGGATCTGGGAAGGACAGAAGGGAACTGGTGTCTAGGGCTGTCTGGCCCTGACCCCTGAAATGTCGGTTCAGCCTGGGAATCCCCCCAGTTCCATTTCTGCTCCCCACATCCACTACAAGGGCCTAATGAGGGCCAATGTGTCTGGAAGAAGCTTCTCTCCCTTCCCAGCATCGTCTGCCTGGGGCTGTCTGGCATGTCCCGGGCTGTCTGGCATGTCCTGACCTGCCTGGGCCCGTTCTCCCCTGGGCCACTCCCTCCTTCATTCAGAGCCCCCCACTCTCCACTTCAGCTTCCAGGCAGACTGACCCTGAGCTGGGAGGTCCCCTCCCCACAAGGCTGTAGGGGCCTCCATTGTCCTTCCTGTTCTGAAGTCCTCCTACCCTGTGCTGGCACCCGTCTCCCTGCCTGCTCCGCCCTCCCCCAGCATCCCCCAGGACAACTAGTGGTCACCCTGCTTGGTTCTGGGGACACTGGGCCCCGAGGGCCTGGAGCCGCCAGGTCTGGCAGACACTGCCAGTGGGTGTTTCCCTTTGGAAGGAAAAGGACTTCGATGGCTTTGGAGGCTGCCCCCCGCTTCTGGACTTGCTTTCTGCCAGAGTGGGAAAGCAGGGTGGGGCCAGTGGCCAGGGAGGAGGGCGTGGGCTGGAGTCCGGCGTGGGCTGGAGTCCGGCGTGTGTGGTGCCCTGCTAGGCCTGCTCTTGCCCAGCTGTTCTGGGGCTTGGGGCCAGGGCTGGGTCGGAGTGGCAGGAGATGGAGCTGGGGGAAACTGGGCCCTTCTCACTATCCCAGCTGGCCAGGGCAGTTCCTACAGGCCACTCCACCCTTG